ATTGGTGACTAAGAGCTAACAACGCTAACAACCTTTTCGACCATATTAGCACAGGTTTCAACTTTTCACATGACTCACTGACCCTCAGGTGGTTATTACTGTCAGCTCCATTCAGCCATGTCTTTTCTCCAAGTGTCTTTGAATACAGGTATGAAAGGTAGTCATGAACAAAGACCTCAACCAACAAAGATAGCAGCCAAAAAGTTTTTCCACATTAGAAAGAGTGTCTGCAAGTGACATTCAATAACTTCCTGTAACATTCAAACAAATGTTTGTTTATTACAGAAGACAGCTGTTAGTTCTGTCATGTTTTTAAATTTTCCAAGAACATTTCATACAATATGGCCCCAGCTCCGGGATCCACAGTAGAATGTATTTAACATGTTCTCAGGAGCTCCTCATTCTTCCAAATTCTTCCAGACGCTCTTGTAGGCTTCATACAGATATACATAGAGCCAGTGATGATATTAACCTGAACCATAAGCAGCACAAAAATATCTGAGGGTTAATTTTGATTTGAAACTGAACTGGTCAGAAGCTTGTTTTCTGTAAAGAAATTAAAGTCCTGTTACTCGGTCAGTGGGCGCTGTAGATATCTCTCTAGTGTCGTATCTCGACCTTGCAGGGCTCCATGGTCAAGTGAGCAACAATAAATGTACAATGTCTGGTTCGAATTTCAAAATAAAGCTTGTATGGTTAACATAGTAAAATAGTCACAGTTCATTTAGCTTTAGGCACAAACTGCTGGGTTAGGATTAGGAAAAGATCGGAAGTTACGCTGCGTACCCAATGTAACTAGGTACCTGAATAAATTTCTGTAACGTACCTGACCTAATTTATGTTACGTACTTTATGTTAACTTAAGTATGTTACTTAAAAGAAATTGTTAATTTTGTTTTTTTTGTCCAGAAATGACACTAGAGGGACCTACAGAGGGCCGCTGACTACGCTGTAGTTTGTAATAAGTTGGGAGTGAGACAGGGTTGAGTAAGAAGCTTTTAAATGTTTACTTTCTCACTGTTTTCTGCTGTTGTATGTTGGTTAACAGCATTACTGCCAATGATAGCAACAGGATTAAAGGTTCAGTGTGTAACATTTATCTATTGTCAGAAATGTAATATAATTTCATAGGTATGTTTTCATTAGTGTATAATCACCTGCAATTAAGAATTGTTAAGTTTCCTGTTACCTTAGAATGAGACATTTTTATCTACATAGGGAGCGGGTCCTCTTCTGGTGGAGTCCGCCATGTTTCTATAGTAGCCTAGAACAGACAAACCAAACACTGGTTTTCTGGGAGTAAAATAAAAAAGGTTGCAAAAAGGCTGGTTCTATAAATTATGTGATGCCTGATTCTTGGAGACAGTTTTGGAGGAAAGATCCATAAGAAGAGTTGAGACCAGACTTCAGTTTGAAGATCATGTTTGTTGTTTTTAGAGTCTGAAAAGTGTTGACTGAGATGCTTTTGTTTTTAATGTAATTTATAAGCTCTGGTTTTATGTGTGTTCTACTTGGCTAATTTAAAGGTTTTATTTCCTATTTATTGCCTTTCATTAGCGGCCCTTTGTTTGATCACTTTTGGTTGGCTTTTTATTTATTTATTTTCAGTTGATTTATTGTATTAATATGTTGTTTTTTAATTTAGTGGCTTGGTGGGTTTCTGAGCTCACTAATGGGATATGTGTTACTACTACTGTTGTGGTATTATGTCATATATATTCATATGTTGTCTGTTCATAACAGCAGTATGTGTTTTTTTACATTTAATTTTATATTAAGGAAAGAGAGTTATAAATTGTTATCACAATCCAGTAAACACCTGGATTGTGATAATAATACAATATATATTATATAAATATATAAATATGTATATTATTATATATTTATATTTATA